CTTTGCCCTCTTCATTACGTGAGCTTATCTATGGCGAAAGCTGACTGATAAGGGCGTCAGATTGTCTATAGCTGGATTCAGACTTAGCCGGTGAGAACATACGAGCACAGACAAACATGAACAAAGACGGATTGGATTACGAAAAACACGGTGATGCACGAACGGGAGCATATATGGATGAACACGAACAAGCACAGACGAGAATCGGCGAGCTGTAACGGCAGTAGATGGATACTGGCCTGTATAAGTCTGGATGTAGAACATGCGACCCCAGCAGAAATTCTTGTTAACATTTTCGATGACAAAAAAAGGCGGTCATAATTTAACAGTAAAACCTCCCTGTAATGGAATACCAAGAGACCTGAAATTTTCTCCTTTCAAACAGGCATCTATTTAACACAGGTATTACACCCCGTGTGTGTACAAGAAACTATTCTGCTGTTCTTGGGCATTTTATTTGTTTCTCATTCTTTCCTTTTAACGTGATCCACTAAAATACTCTGCACATATTTTGTCGATGATCAGGTTTGTTTTCAATCAATGACAAGAATGTACTTCCCACAACTTCTGTTCCCACATTAAAAAGGAAATTTTACGTCTGTTAACGTGTGTCCGTTTAGTTGTCTCTCGTAGACGTGTTTTGCTGTAACAGGCTAATCCAGCATGAAATCATACTTCCAGGCATAGTATGGACACTCTTTAGTAAATTCAATTACGAAAAATAATATAACACGTTTATAAACCGATCTTTCTATTTCTAATGTGTATGTTACTATATATTCAGCGAAACGAAATATTTGTCGTCTTTTTGACATTTTAAATTAAATATTCATTATGGAAACTTCAAGTTACCATAATTTACAATCCAAAGGAGTATTTTTTTTATAAATCTCCGGTTATAAAGAATTAAAGAAAAATAAAAAATATCTCACACTTAAAAGTAATGCAACAATTTCCTTGACTACAAGTTTGTTGTAAGACAGACATTTTTCCGTAGGGATATATTTTATAAAATGCATGAAAACTCACAGTAAATTCGGTCGTGAAACACTGCTAGTAATACCTAAATATGGCGTGTCCAAAAATAATATGGTGTAATAAGAGACGCAAGGCAGTAAAATTATAAGTGTAAATTTTATTGTATGTAACATTGTATGGCTCGATTCTTAGGTTATGACTAATCAAGGAGAACAAAGGCTGTTTGACCTACAAATTCACACGTGTTTGGAACGATTGGAGCTGTTACCAAGTAATACGAATTAAATGTCTTTATTCAACTCTCATGTTTCACCACCACGTGCAGACTGTTATAACCCCAGTCCTTTGACTAACATTTGCCTGTAATGTAACGTGTTACAAATCGAGCATTACACAAGTGAAGACAGCGAACGGAGCCGCTCGCGCTCGCGGGCGCTCCATCGTGTTGTCGGTTTTTTCGCGAATCCCTTTGAGTGTTACATTACAAGTCAGTCAGTCGAGCGGCGTCGTAACGAGCATTCACGAGTTCTTTAAATAACAGTAGCGTATTAAATGGAACAAAGATAACACAACCTCCATGTCCGACATATTGAATGAAATGAATGGAGCACACACGAGCACAGTCGAGCCGAGCGTTCAAAACGAGCATTCGATGCGCCTCACCAGTTGTGGTGTAATGTAACATGCTCGCCGCGAATGTTACATTACGAGTAAATGTTACAAGTCAGTCGCCACCTTAAGACGAGCATTATAAATACTCATGTTGGATCGCTTTAGACAGAACATTCTTGTAAGTGCTACTAGGCACTATATCAACATCTTTTAATAAATTATTCTTCAATTGGATTTGTGATTGTGGAACTTGGAAAGATACCTCTAATTCTCCTTGAGCCGGACTTAGCTCCGCTCCGAACCAACGACTATCCCTATTAAAAGACTTGTTCACTGATCAACATCCACGGTTGAACAAGCAATTGAAATCGAAAGGCATTTCAATGGTCAAAACAGTAGGGTCTCAATTATCCGATCAAACCGGGACCCAAGCATCTTCCGGTAATCGGAAATGTCAAGCAATACGGAAGACTAATAAAAAAATAAGATGGTAAATATCAACTCAGTTTACGATATTATTAAATTACGAACAAAATACAATACGGCATCAAATGAAGAAAAATCTCACAAACAAAAACAGTGTTTAACATATGCAAATACGTAAATAAATAAATAAAATTAAAGGTTTTATAATATAAATTAGTAATGGTTTCCGACATGGCACGTCGGATAATCGGGATTCTATTGCATATTCAAACCAGATCAAGACTGATGGCGACGAAGTTAAATGAAGACTAAAAATGTTAAATAAATTGGTTCTTGCCTCGTTTTGCTTATCGTTCGACATAGTTACATACCGTACCATAAGTGTCAATAAAAACTGCCATTTGCAGTCGCTTTATCAGTGCGAACTTGACCTAGCTGCTTCCTGTGGAAAATTTCCATTTCTAATAAACGAAAGATGTTTAAGTGCGTATTAAATGTTACAATTTGCGTTCCTTAAATGTGGCATCATGTAGTGACATAATGCCTATATAGTTCATCGTGAATGCTTTATCAGTTTCATTGACGCAATAAATATATATAAAGTAATAATTTATTATCAATGGCTGATATATCTATACAAAACTATTTATTCCAAATGGAAAAATAGATTAAAACAATTTCTTTACCTCCGGAATATTTTGAATGAAAAAGGAAAGTTTGTAAACTTACGTACAAACAATTTTATTTGCATTTTATAATTGTAAGCTAATCCACATAGCTGCATGCTCATAAAACTGTGATTAAAGCACAAAATAAAAAGAATTAAATATAAATTGCCAACTGCCTCCCGCTACTACACAGAATTCATTAACGGCAATTTATAAACGTCCATGTCAGTGAACAGTAACAACGAAAACATAGACATACACTTTTACTTAATTACATGCGTGCTCAGAGTTATAACAAAACCAAACAGGGCCTCTAATTTTGTAAATATACCTCTGATAACTATTATTTACTAATAGTTTAACTACAACTAAATATTTATATAATAATTATAAATTTAAAACCGTACGCAATACAAATTTTGTTAATATCTGTTAATTAAATGCATTAAATGCCTAATTTTGATTTCGAACCAGTTTTCCTGAACGTCAGAATAGCAAGACATGAAAATGTCATAAAACCTGCACAAACAATTGTAATTAAGGTCATTAAATATTTCAAGTCAGCTTTCTGAATGTCATAATTGATTACTGACATATGTATTTTACTGACGGATACAACTTTCACACAAACTTATTGAAGCGTTAAGTGGATTTATGAAGTCCTTGAACTTGATTCAAACCGGTTTTCTAAAAGCCGCAATTTACAATTCAAAAGTTTTAAAACTAGTTTTCGTTTGTTTTTCTGAATATTCGAATAATATTGACACAGACATAAGTTTTGTTTATCACTGTTATTTAAACTAAATTTATTTATTTTAAAACGCGATTATGATCGATTTCCCGAAAACCAAAATTTAATTAAAGTCATGCACTTCTCAAATCTACTTTCAATTCGTTTCTGGCATCAAAATTGAAAACACTGATACTCGTAGTTTGACAGATACAAACTTTTCTCATAATTATTGCAATTTTAATTCAATTTAATAATTCTCTAACCTTGATTCAACTCGGGCTCTGAATATGAGAATTCAAGACTGCGCATGTGCAGTAGATTACTGAAATCCCCCCCTCCCCCGCATCTTTTACATACATTTCGCAGTAATACATGAGTTTTTAACATTTCAGCTGATATACTGTAGGCTAAATTCAAACTACAAATCGTAAATTAATCTTCAGTACCTGAGATTCATCGTAGAAAACAGCGGCAGAAACTGGAGGCTGGTAATAATGATCCATTTCTTTCCCATCTACTATTAGAGACCTCCTACAAACTGGATACAATATCCATTTATCACTGAACGGTCATTGTATCTTGAGCACCTCATAAAGCCTACCTATCTTATCTACGTATGAATCATTCGATTTACGACACTGATTCAAAGTACCTAAATATTGTTGTACGTATACACAATATCAAAACGTCTACATATAATCCAATGCGCCATAATGCTACTACAAAGAGGAAATCAGGTTAATAACTCTCACATTCAAGGCATACATCGTCTGAATTCATCTCCTGAAGAAAAGAACGGTCACTAAGATGCATGATGATGATGATAAAATAACTCAAACACTTTATTAGTGTTTTTGCAAAAAACAAAGAGCTAACGAAAGGCAATCACTAATAAATATAAGCATTAAACAAATACAATTCAGATTAAATTACGTACAGACAATGCACTGAAAGAAAAGATTGTTCATTGATCTATGGCTGTTACGTGCTCATCAATAATCTAGCGTGTGTTTAATAATTTCTGTATTACGAACCACTTATCTCGTTCAGAAGCACTGGCCCTTCTCGTCTGGATTTATTTTTTTGTTTCATCCCGCCATATCTCAATAGTAAAATACTAAATAAATAATTAGACAAGTACATAAATAAGAGCTATGAACTATAGATAACATGTTACTATGGAAATACAAGTCTTACTGACATCTATAAGTTTCTTTAAGTTTAAAGAAAAATCCGAATGGAAAATGTTAGTATGTAACCAAAGTAGTCATCACACACATTCACATGTAGAAAAACAACGTAACTGATTATACACTTTTAACCATGGGAACCCCTGAAGTATACCATTATTAATGCAGTATGCCAAATTCATTAGAATGATGGGAAAAAATTACAAACATTCAGTTTCTCTGCGAAAGTCTGGGATGGGTTGAAGGTATTTGTTGAGTTCACTAAAATAAGACGTTCGCACACACACAAAACACAATATTGTGATTCAGACGAAACTCAGTGAAAGTGAAGAAAAGAGACATAAACACGTGAAGTAGCACACAGAAACGAAAATAAATAAAATTGTAACTTACTCCATGTGCTAATGCGACATGCTTATTGAGACTTCCATACCCTCTGCCTGAAGCCATTGTTCCTGGCGACAACACACTACATATAAAGACGAAACAAAAGGATTATTTAAAACGAGCTGCACTTCGGAGAAATCCAACGAAAGATATAAACAGGTATGACAACATATGAAACAAATTCCTATCAATCTGCATTCACAAATTATGGTTTTAAAAGAAGAACTGATAAATTCAAAACGTTGAACGATTTCAAAGTGTAGAAATTATACGTAAATACTCATTTATAACTACGAACTTTGTTTAAAAAGTTTCTAGTATCTGAGTTCCAAAATTCTAATTTTATACAACCGCAACAAAGAAAATATTTTTAGACAAAAATTACTGTAGCACACATTTTATATAAACAGTAATGAATAAACAATATAATACGGTAATTTATTGTCTGTCAATATGAATTTCCATTACTTATATCACCTGAATCATTTCAAACGAGTCGCTTATTTTGAAAAAAAAAAAAATTAAAATCACATGCATGCGAGCGAGTGCACTGATGTAGCAGTAACATCGCGGACTTGTATTCCAAAGACACCCGCTTCGAATCTCAACAGGGTTACTGGACATTCCTACTGAGATACTTTAAAATAGGACACGACCGTCTCCTTAAACATCATTACCTACTAACCGCGGCTATAAGTCACATTTCAGCGTTATCTTTGCCACGCTGCTAGTTCTAAGCTGTTTTAACTCGCCTGGGGTCAGCTGTTCGTGCTGAAACGATATACGAATTTGCTGCGACCTTGAAGCATGCAATCTGGTGATGGTTACGATAAAAAATCCATTAATCACGTTCGATTTTCTGTTACTAGACACATGACTGCTACGCTGGCCATTTATCTATCAATATCGAAAAATCAGTACAAAATAAACATAGTTCTTCTGTACTTATTATCACTATCGAATTAATTCTGTTTTTCAAGAAAATTTAGAGTGTATTTCATCCACCATCAGACATAAATTACAAATTCATTTTGTAAATTAGGTATCGTTTCTCGGGCGTATATTTACGTCGTACCAAATAATCTGATAAATTATGCTTCATCTGTACACCAGTGTACACAACACAACAAGAATATCAAGGCGATATAGGATTTGAAGCTTTCGCGGCGAGTACACTCAATAAAATCTTCTCGGGCAATCAGCCGCGTTAACTGGTTACCGTAGTAAACCGACGTTTCGGGAACAAACTGTCCCCATCTTCAGGGTTCTAATGTGACTGGATCCTCGGAAGTCGCCTGTTACTACAGTAACCAGTTAACGCGGCTGATTGCACGAGAAGATTTTATTGAATATCAAGGCGATTTCACAACTATCTCAACTAAAATAGTTAAGATATACGGTGTATGTTACACAAAATCACGAGTATCATTTGGAAACTCAGAACCACTTTTTCTTGATAAAAACAGTAAAATTAAAAAACTAAAACATTTATAATATGTTTAATGCTGAACATACCTTAGTCCAAATGTAACAAGTTTAGTATAGGCCTATAATCAATCACACACTATACAACAGAATATGTATTCTTAGACTAAGTCATTAGATTACTGAACAAATCACACTGCGTATTACCCTATTAATATATGTAGCCAAAATAGTCAAAGATATAGAGAGAGGGGATTTCCCCCACCACCATCAGTATATATTCTGCAGTTGGCCAGCAATATGAACGTGTGTTCGTTGACCAACATGTATCAGACTGGGGTCATGGTGGAGAACCAGAGGTCAGATCTATGCAGATTGACTACAGCCTACAGCGATCGAATTATGACACAACGCTCCTTTTTTATAAATCCACGTGATGCGCCAATGACTAAATGGGAGATCAAGGATGGCGAACGTATCCCTAAATAACGCATATTCCCGATTTTTTCTACTTAAAGCAGTCCTTGTTCTACTGTATTACTTTCAAGCTGTGTTTCTCAATCGGTAATCAGTGGTATACAAATTTCAGTTGTCATATTATGCATTGCATAAAAATATCAGACATAATCTATAAATAGAGGCTTCTTTCGTTTTTTAGTAATTACATTATTTGTATTGCTGTTTCTCAGGACTTGATCCATCGTTCAGGGAAAAAAACCCACTGCGTTTCGCGAGCTGGCGCTAAGACTGTGATTACCACCCCCCCCCCCCCCATAGGACCCAACACAACAGAACCTGAAGACAGGAGGAGATCCAGCTCCCGAAACGTTGCGGCTTAGTTTTTAGAATATTAAATTATGGATCAAGAACAGTCAAACAGCAACAGATACAGAATGTAACGCGCCATAGTTAGTACCCTTTAGATTTATATTAAATAATTTGTGTCGAACATTACCAGGCCTAAAATTTACAGAACTGACATTAGGTAAGCGAATTACGAGTATTTTATTTTCGTTAGAGGCCGACTGGGGAATTCTGATAAATAAAATTATTCCACGTGTCCTCGTACATCGTTAACTGTGGATGTTTGAATGTTATATATCTCAAGTTACTGAAAGCTATGTTACGTAAACCACAAATAAATAAATATAAACCGAGAATTATCAGTGTGGATAATATTGAAGTATTCGGTTTTAAGACCATACACAGTTGTTTGTCAAGAAACATGTTACAAAATGCCAGCAATAGACGTTTAAAACACAATATTTGAAAGACAGGGTACCAGTCATAAGATAACCCACTGCTGTCTCAGCAGTTAGAACAACTGTTTACACGACATAGGGTTATGGGGACGACGGAATAATTTATTGCATTACTGGAGTCTTCCCTTAATTCTCAGTTATCAATTAATCACTTCTTTATGTTTTTTGATTATTAAGACTCGTCAAGCTACCCTCTTTTAAATAGCTGATATTAGCGACTACTGAAGAGTACCTTTTGCCGCCCCCCCCCCCCACCGAGGTTTCCTTAAAACAAACTTACGAAAATAATTTACCAAAATATTATAAATAGGCCTATATGATTATGTTTACCAATTTCGTGTTATTTACATACATAATTCGACACAGTAATCGTTAAGCACACTATAAAACCCTCGTCATCCCCATAAATTTAATAACAATATATTTTACTCATTACGTCAGGCATAAAATTGATGGAAAAGAACTATCAATCTTATTACGTTACTTCATTTGTAATATTTAAAAGCGTTAGCCAGGATAAGACAGAACGTCAAGAACTCGATGGATGTTTGACTGATGATAAGAAATTAATATCTTGGATGTTTTGCTATTCTGAAACATTTAAATGTTATTTACAATTTTTGTCGTGGAAACAATGATAGTTTAAATTTTTGTGAACTTAATCGCAGACCTACGAATTTGGAGGACAAAAATGTCTGCTGCAACATCAGAATTTTTTAAATAAGCTCGCAATGAATCTATACGACATGTCACGTATCAGTTGATTTGTACAACGAACAGTTTTTAAGCGAAATATGAATTTCGACTTAATTTCACATACAGCAGGGGTTACATTTGGCCAAAATGCGAGGGGCTGGTAACCTTTTCACGTAAATATAAATTTACTCGTAAGTCTCCCAGAATAAACGATCCGGACGGAATAAATAGAAAATTACACACGCAAGAGATTATGGACCAACGATGTGGAATAAAAGGCAAATTAAAGATTGAAACGTGGTAGGTCAGTCAAAGGATGTACACAAGAACGTTTCCGAAATGAATACATTATAAACTAAGTGGGAACAGAGCCAGTAATACAGAAAATAAAACAGCGAAAAATGTAAATCACACACAGAACGAATGTCGGAGTGAAGAATTTCAAAACAAACCCTGAATACCGACCAAACGATCGAGGGAATACGAGAGACCAGAATAGGCAATGTCCTGATCCATGAAGGAAGAAGATGATGAACCAAAATTAAATTCCCTCAACAAATTTTAGCATAGCACATCAAATAACAAATTTAATCGAAATTCAACTATTAGATTAAACATATAAATAGACGGATACCACTCTCCAGTATGAGTTTATATTATGTAATTCGTGCAATAAATGCATAAAAAGCTTTCTTATCCGACTCGATTGTTATCCGCAACACGCAACTAGCACCTGGTGGTAGAAAGGAAAACTATGGTATGATGACGACAGCGAAAGGAATAAATGTGTAATTACAGAAGAATCCAAATTAAAAGAAACCATAACAAGTAACATTTAAGTATATCAATTATTTTTTAATACATACGAGGGTGTTTCAAAAAGTAACAGCAAATTAAATATTTTTAGATATATACGAGGTGCGATCGGAAAGTTTCAAGACTGTGTCAATAGAGGACGAACCGGATGTAGTACGAGCTTCTGCCGCTAGGGGGTGCGGTCTACATTCATAGTGAATCAGTGTGCCAGCCGACATCATCGAATTAGCATTTGTTTCTTAGTTACGGGCGTTTTGGTAGTGCATTACACCGACCCTCCTGCGATTTCGGAATAGCGGATTTTCATGAACAAATCAAATTTTACCAAAGACTCGCCAAAACGGCTACGGAAACCTATGAAATGCTAAAGCAAGCATTTGGGGAGTCCGCAATGGGTCGTGCACAAACTTTTGTGTGCATTCACGTTTTAAAAATTCTGCATTCTAGATATTTTTCCCCTTTAAACCAGTTATAATGTATTATATATCATTAATCATGATGACAGCGGTTAAAAATTCTTATTACAGTCATCAGAGGTAATATACAAATGTAAACTGTGCTAATATTACCTTCAAACGGGGTGACTTTCTTGGTATCTTACATTACTAATGGCGCAAGTTCTTCGTACTGTAAGCTAAATATGTGAATGAAGCAAAAATAAAGCAAGCATTTAATAGACATGTTTTAACCCACATTTCCAAACTAAATGAAGCAGGAAAACAGCAGCTCACATTCCACTTCAGCCGTGACACTTTTCATCCAAGCCTCGTAAAGCATTAGCACCATTCCATAAAATCTCACTGGGTCATAGATATGAACAGGGCGGGGCAGCGTTCGTTCATAATTTTTAAAGATACACTAATCGACCAAAGTTTATTCGAAT